CCTTCTGTCTATTCCTTACCCCCCTTTTGTCACCCCCCCCCCCTTTCTGTCAACCCCTCTGTCCCCCTCAGCACTAATCCCCCTCTGACGCTACGAACCTCTGGTAGATAAAAAAAAACAGACGGCCGTTTTGAAAACGAACCCACTTAAAGGCCGACAGATACATCACTCTATATTCAGCCCAATTAAACTAAAAAGTAAACAGGGAAAAGAGAAGGAAAAAACGACATTGACAACAAACAAAAATTTACTTTAAAACAGTTCACAAATGTAGTGGTCAGACAGGAAACTGAGGAAATGAGAGGCCGCTGTGTGTGGGGATGTGAGTGTGGGTATGTGTGTTTAAGTGGAAGGGGTGGGGGAGGAAAAAATACGAGATATTTTGTTTAAGATAGAAGGACGGTGTATACATTCGATAGTTTCAATGAAGCTGGCATTTCTTTTAAAAAAAGTATTTAAGAAAGCGTTAGGTAAAATGGTGTTAACCGAACGATGTACACTATTAGATAAATCACAAAACAATGTACACTATTAGATAAATCACAGAACGATGTACACTATTAGATAAATCACAAACCGCTGTACACTATTAGATAAATCACAGAACGATGTACACTATTAGATAAATCACAAAACAATGTACACTATTAGATAAATCACAGAACGATGTACACTATTAGATAAATCACAAACCGCTGTACACTATTAGATAAATCACAGAATGATGTACACTATTAGACAAATCACAGAATGATGTACACTATTAGGCAAATCACAGAACGATGTACACCATTAGATAAATCACAGGGTACACTATTAGATACATCAATGCCAGGAAATAAACATTTTTTTTTGTTCTATGTAAAATGTGGGCCCTTATCTCAAGTTAAATTTTAGGTAGTTTGTTAAACAACGACAGAATGCCATGATCATTGGTGCTTGTTCTTCAATTTGTAATGTTGGACGTAATTTCCTTCTACACAGTTAAGTGTTACGTGTCAATTTGTTAAAACAGCCATGATGGCCGTTTTACTCATACTTTTTACAAGCTTTTATTTAACTCACTTCCTCTGTCGACAGTCAGTCTAGATCGAAACGCCGGAGCGAAATTACAGGCACTTCTACTTGACAGATACGGCGTAATTGGTACGTGGGTCAAGACAGGAAGACAATGCATCGTGAGATTAAATCTGACTTAATTGGATGCCTAATTAATTTTTTATGAATTAATTAAAATTTTTACTAAATTAGTAGGCATTTCTATCCAACCACAGCACACGCGTCATCACGTTCAATAGCGCGTCATCACGTTTCAATAGGCGCGCAATGGTTTTTAGTCATGAAGCTCTATTGTAAATAAAAACATGTAAATTACAAAAATTTTTTTTCATAAAAAACTTTTTAATAACAAGCTTTTATGTACTAATGCACTAAAAAGTAGAAAATAAATTATAGACTACTATTTCAATTACTATAAAGAAAAGCGTAGGTCACTTTAGTATCTATTGGATACCTTTACTAAATATGTTTAGGAAGAGACCCACGCTTTTCCTTATAGTAATTTAAATAGAAGTCTATAATTTATTTTCTACTTTTTAGTGCATTAGTACATAATAGCTTGTTATCAAAACGGTTTTTTATGAATTTTTTTTTTCTTTTTGGATTCGCTTCCATCCAAGAACAAACTACAAGGTAGAAGTTTGATTTTGGAGTTGTCCTCTTCTAGGTAGATTGCTGTCCCCAGCTATCAAGCTACATCGACACATGGGACTCACTTTTAAGGGTGATTTGCGTTTTAATAAACACAAATGAACCTGTGAAAATTGTAACTTTTTGCTCTCTTGTTATGAAGGGTGGCCGACCCCTGATTTAGAGGATACAAAATTTTAAATTAATTTTGTAGTTAGACATACAATTACATTTTGTCATCAAAATTGAATAGAAGTATGTTATAATAAAGCTACCGTTTTCGGACTTTTAAACAAAACCTACAGTTAGGTATTCAATATGTAGAATATATTGTTTTTACAAGTTTGCATTGCTAATATAAAAGTTTTGTTATAATTATATACGTAATGAAATTTAGAGCGTTGTATTGCTTTTTTCAAACATGTCTTAGTTACACTTGGTTAATTTAGCTATTCTCGTGACAGTTATTTCCCTTTAATAAAATTTTTTGTATTTGGATTTTTAAATGGGAGATAATTCGTTGCTTGCCTTTAAATTCATTTCAAATTCCTGCAGCTTAGGTTCACCGCTTACATATAAATACAACTTTAAGTTATTATTTGCTATTGTAAAAAATTGTACAGAGTTTAATTTCTAAACAAAATAGTTTGGTATTTTTTCGTTTAGCATAATCAGGTTGAAAAACAAAAACATCAGTTGCCGTTGTAGATTGCAATACTTAATGTTAGTAGCCATGCAGTCCTAGTCGTAAATTAAACATCTAATTCATTGTTTTTTCATATTTTTCACGCTCTCCTAAAGGATTCATATTCATATATAACAATTTTAGGTTGGAATCTATGATTTATAACCTTTTATTTTTCAAAAAAAAAAATCGTTACATAATCATACAATATAGATTTGTGAGTTGCTGATATAGTTTCGTAGGTATAAAGTATCGAAGTGTTAAAGTGTCATAATTTTTATTCCGCTGTTTTGTAGTTGAAGGTCTAGTGGAGTATTGATTATTGTGGTATTAAGGTATCGAATTATATTGATTGTTAAAGTGTAGTAGTAGATCCAGTGAAATCGTTGTTGATTGGGAGTACCGTTTGTAGAAATCGGTCGCTTCTGTCCTTTGGTTCTCACCAGGCTTATCTTCCACCCCACATAGCCTAGGGTAAGCTCGTACCCCACAGTCCAGTACCTAGCTCAACCGTAGGAAGCTAACAACTAAAAACTACGTCACTCAGGTCATATTAACGATTACTGACAGATAGGGAAATGCATCCTGAATAAAATAACATTCCCTACTTAAAGATATTCGAAAAAGTCGGCACTCGTGAAGTTTTAAGCATTGCACGGCTGTGGTGCTGGGCTTGGTGCCCAAGCGGCTGTCAGCTGTCCGAATACTTTCTACTCCCACCTATTCTCATTGTTCGCTGATTAGTGTTTTTATTATCTTTAAAGTTGTGTTTCTTTACAGTATATAATTTTTTATGGGTTTTGAAAATAAAATAATTCAATAATTTCAATAATTTCTAATTTTTTGCATGGAACTCGAGAGCCGCCACTTGACATCAAAAGAGCAGCATGCGGCTCGCGAGCCGCAGGTTGCCGACCCCTGCACTACGAAGATAGGTAGGCGTTCTCTAGCTGAAAAATCTTTAGTTGTTTAGGAATCTATATTACCACTCTTAAAGTATTAATATATAATATTCAATAGGATGGAATTTATAACTAATCGTAAACATTGATTTCTCAAATTATACTTTTAAAATATTTAATCAATATTGCTAGCAATGTCTAAATCAGGTACCCGTGTTTGATTTTTTGAAAGGCGTCCCTTGATTTAGGGGATCCTAAAATTTTAAAAATTTAAAAAAAAAAAGCAACCTGAAATTATATATTTGTCATCAAAATTGAATAGAAGTATGTTACAATAAAACTACCGTTTTCGAACTTTCAAACTAAACCTACAGTTAGGTATTCATTATATAGAATATATTGTTTTTACAAGTTTTCATAGCTTATATAAATCTGTTGTTATAATTATATACGTAATGATATTTAAAGTGTTTTATTGTGTTTTTCAAACATGTCTTAGTTACACTTGGTTAATTTAGCTATTCTCGTGATAGTTATTTCCCTTGAATAAAAAATTTGTTATTAGGATTTTCTATGGGAGATAATTCGTTGCTTAACTTTACATTAATTTCAAAGTCCTGCACCTTAGGTTGACCGCTTTCTACTTTAAATACATCTTTAGGTTATTATTTGCAATTGTAAAAATTATACAGAGTGTAAGTTCTAAACAAAATAGTTGTAGATTGCAATACTTAATGTTAGCAGACACAAAGTCTTAGTCGTAAATTAAACATCTAATTAATTGTCTTTTCATATTTTTTTAACCTCTCCTAAAGGATTCATATTTAACAATTTTAGGCTGGAATCTATCGTCTATAACCTTTTATTTTTCAAAAAAAAATCGTTACATAATCATATAATATAGACATTTTACAATTATAACTAAAGACAGTCAAGCTTAAAACAGGAAAGTTCCGTTTTGGAACTCACCTTGGGAGGTCTGCAGAGAGCCCAACATAACAGGAACTGTGGGTTTTTTTTAGTGTATTTTTTCTAGACTTTTTTTCTCCCGGAAGGGGAGGGGGGGGCACTCAAGATGATTTAAAGAGGGGGGGGGGGGGCTATGTCGTAAAGTACAAAATAGACGCGTGGACTTGGCAACAATTTCAATAAAATGTGATTACCCTTGCAAACTGGAATTGAAGGAATTAGTACAAACTTTTGAGACGAAGGAGGCAAGTAAAATTTGATTTTGATGTCTACTTATAACGTGTATGCAATTGATAATAAATTAATATGTCACTTTTAGTTAATTGTTTTCTTATAAATTTGTTTTAGTAATTAATTTGTGTGAAAGGGGGCGTTTTAATAAGTTTTGCCTAGGGCGCTAAATAACCTGGTGCCGGCACTGGGTACAACCAATTTACTTCAGGCTTTACGACAACCACTTTACACGAGGCTTTACAACAATAAGTTCACAACAGGCTATACAAGAACAGCTTTACCGTTCACGTACAGCTGGCTATAGAATAACCACGTCACAACAGGCAATACAACAACCACTTTACAGCAGGCTATAAAAAAATAAGTTCACAACAGACTGTACAAGAACAGCTTTCCTCTACCTGTACAGCAGGCTATACAACAACCACTTTACAGCAGGCTGTACAACAGCTTTCCCCTACCTGTACAACATGCCATATAACAGCCACTTTACAGCAGGCTGTACAACAGCTTTCCCCTACCTGTAGAGCAGGCTGTCCACCAGGAACTTGTGCTCCTGAACCCCCAGTGTTGGCCAGCGGATCAGCAGAATGTCCTGGACACTGGCCAGGTAGTCGCCGCTACAGATCCGGCCAATGTGGTGGAGGAAACTGGGGAGGAGGGAGGGGGGGGGCACTTCTGAGCATCAGGTTTGGGAGATTTTTAAAGGGAAACTTTTCAACATCAAGTTTTTGATGACATTTTTTAAAGGGAAACTTTTCAACATCAAGTTTGGGAGATTTTTTAAAGGGGAACTTTTGAGCATCAAGTTTGGGAGATTTTTAAAAGGGAATCTGAACATCAAGTTTGGGAGATTTTTTAAAGGGGAACTTTTGAGCATCAAGTTTGGGATATTTTTTAAAGGGGAACTTTTGAGCATCAAGTTTGGGAGATTTTTTAAAGGGAAACTTTTCAACATCGAGTTTGGGAGATTTTTTAAAGGGAAACTTTTGAACATCAAGTTTGGGAGATTTTTTAAAAGGGAAACTATTGAACATCAAGTTTGGGAATGGGATTTTAAATGGAAACTGAGCATCAAGTTTGTGATGAAATTTTTATAGAGGAATCTAAATATCAAGTTTGGAATTTTTAAAAGGGATTTGAACATCAAGGATGAGATGAGATTTTTATAAAGATAGTGAACATCAAGTTTATGATGAGATTTTTATAGAGAAACTAAGGAAACTAAACATTTGTGTGTTGAAATTACTCACGACTTTCATCTATGTATGTGTACACGAGCGGATATGCTTGAATTGCTCAGTGCTCTGATCTGTAAGTGGCTGCACATAAACGTGTGTGTGTGTGTGAGCTAATCACAGACCTTGTGTGTATGTGTATATATGTGTGTGTGTGTGTACTACTCACAGCCTTGCTGAGCCTTTGAGTTTGGTTATGCATTCACGTGTGTACCTGTGCATGTGTGTGTGTGTATAGATGTGTGTGCTACTCACTAATCAGTGGCTATGCATGCACGTTTGTATGTTTGTGTGTTTGTGTGTATATGTGTGTATGCGCGTGTGTGTGTATGTGTGTGTTACTCACTACTCCGAGCGTGATTATGCATGCACGTTTGTATGTGTGTGTATGTGTGTGTTTGTGCTACTCACTAGAGAGTGGCTTTGCATGCACGTTTGTATGTGTGTATGTGCATGTGTGTGTATCTGTGTGTGTGTGCGTGTGCGTGTGCGTGTGCGTGCTACTCACTACTCTGAGCTGTGCGTGAGTTTGTCCGTCTCAAACTTGTTCCTCCTCTCGAAGCACAGCTGCATGGCGGGGTCCGCCCACAAGGTGTGCATGTCGTCCACATTGGGCACTTCCGGGTTGTACACATCAAAGGACGACAACCTCTTTGTCAACTCGGCTCTTGTCGTCACTGGAGCCGGGGGGGGGGGGGGGGGGGGGCAGGGAAAGATGAAAGGAAAATGGCGGATTGATTTTCGTGGATTAAATATTGTATCAGAAATGGAAATAAAGCTTGGATTAATTAAAAAAAAAGAAGTTATTTTTTTACTTTTCACATTATCGTTTCTGCTTAATGGGATTTTTGTTTACTAAGGTAACCATGACAACGATGCTGGGAAAAAGATCAGTTCCAGAATATCTTGTTTTTTCTTACCCGTGGTGCTTGAGCAATTTATTTGATTGGTAATTTTTGTGACGTCCATAAACCAAGTCATGCATTTAAAAATATGTTGGACGAAATGACGGACGGGTGTGTGTGGGGTGGGAGGGGGGGGGGGGGATAGGGGGGGGGGGGCGAAGTGGGGTTTCAAGAATTGTGAAGAATTGTGGCTTCAATACCAGAAATAAAGTGAACAATTCTTCTTTAGACACAGAGATTTCTTAGGCAGATGAATTATTTCATATATTTCTTGACCTCGGCGTATGAAGGGATGGTGTGGTTAGCACTATGCCCAGCCGCCTTTACTTTCCCCATCAGAGCTAAGTCGGCTCAAGGACTTCCCTCCAGTCAAGAGGTCCGAACTCTAGACCTTCGGGTTAGCAGCCCAAATTCTCTACCATCCGACCACTCCATCCCATCCCCCAGACATCAATGCAATCAGATTTTTTTTTAAAACTCCACGTGAAATGTGTTTGAGGTTAGTCAACAAAAAACGTCGACGTCACAACCCCTGACACGCCCACCGGCACCCAACTTCCGGTCCCCAGAATCCATCTCTTCAATACGTTCTCTGCAACCGCATAGCGCTCAATGCAATCTGCATGTTCACGTTTCCATTCAGGGTAGGGGGTGGTGGGGGGGGGGGGGGGGGGGGGAGGGGGGAAGTTTCTCTCGGGGTATTTGAGGAGTCTGGCTGGATATTTTAGCGCGAGGTATGACGTAGGAGGAGTTAAACATCTGTTTATATTAACATCATTACGTCATCTGTAGACGTACCCTGTCCGTAACAGTGCCGGCGCCAGGTTATTTAGCGCCCTAGGTAAAACTTTTTAAAACGCCCCCTTTCACACAAATTAATTACTAAAACATATGTCTAAGAAAACAATTCATTAAAAGTGGCATATTCATTTATTATCAATTGCATGCACGTTATCAGTAGACATCTAAATCAAATTTTACTTGCCTCCTTCGTCTCAAAAGTTTGCACTAATTCCTTCAATTCCAGTTTGCAAGCGTAATCACATTTATTGAAATTGTTGCTGTCCACGAGTCTATTTTGTACTTTACGACATAGCCCCACCCCCTCCCCCCCCCCTCTTGGAAACATATTGAATGCCCCCCTCCCCTCCCGGGAGAAAAAAGTCTAGAAAAAAATACACTAAAAAAACCTCACAGTTCTTGTAATGTTGGGCTCTCTGCAGACCCCCCAAGGTGAGTTCCAAAACGGAACTTACCTGTTTTAAGCTTGGCTATATTTATTTATAATTGTAAAATGTCTATATTGTATGATGATATAACGATTTTTTTTTTGTTTTTGAAAAATAAAAGGCTATAAATGATAGATTCCAGCCTAAAATTGTTGTATATGAATCCTTTAGGAGAGGGTGAAAAATACGAAAAGACAATTAATAAGATGTTTAATTTACGACTAAGGCTGTGTGTCTACTAACATTAAGCATTGCAATCTACAACGGCTACTGATGTATTTGTTTTTCAACCGGATTATGCTAAACGAATAAATACCAAACTATTTTGTTTAGAACTTCTGCTCTATATAATTTTTACAATAGCAAATAATAACCTAAAGTTGTATTTAAAATGTAAGCGGTCAACCTAAGGTACAGGAATTTGAAATGAATGTAAAGTTAAGCAGCGAATTATCTCCCATAGAAAATCCTAATAACACATCTTTTTATTCAAGGGAAATAACTGTCACGAGAATAGCTAAATTAAGCAAGTGTAACTAAGACATGTTTGAAAAACACAATAAAACACTTTAAATATCATTACGTATATAATTATAACAACAGTTTTATGTAAGCTATGAATACTTGTGAAAACAATATATTCTACATATTGAATACCTAACTGTAGGTTTAGTTTGAAAGTTCAAAAACGTAGCTTTATTGTAACATACTTCTATTCAATTTTGATGACAATCATTTAACTATATGTTTTTCTCGGATTTTCAAAACATATTTTGGATCCCTTAAATCAAGGGACGCCTTTCAAAAAATCAAACACGGATAGGCCTACCTGATTTAGACATTGCTAGCAATATTGTTTAAATATTTATAAAATATAATTTGAGAAATCAATGCCTACGATTAGTTATAAATTCCATCCTATTTAATATTATATATTAATACTTTAAGAGTTGTAATATAGATTCCTAAACAACTAAAGATTTTTCAGCTAGAGAACGCCTACCTATCTTTGTAGTGTGTTCCGTCCTGAATTGAAATCATCTTACGTACGATAACCCCGACTACTCGATATGCTTAATCTACTCCATTCACAACACATATCAAACTTCGATACTTAAACATAACTAGACTCGTTGCTCCAGAACTACGACACCAACACGTTTAACTTCACCAAGCTCTACAAACGGTACTCCCAATCAACAACGATTTCACTGGATCTACTACTACACTTTAACAATCAATATAATTCGATACCTTAATACCACAAGAATCAATACTCCACTAGACCTTGAACTACAAAATAGCGGAATAAAAATTATGACACTTTAACACTTCGATACTTTATACCTACGAAATTATACCAGCAACTCTAAAATCTAAACGATTTTTCAAAACTTACCAAACAAGTACAATACTTTGAACACCCCGTCATTACTAAACTCGATACACCAGGACAAATTTCTAATTCAAAGTCAGAGAAAACTAAACTTACAAGCCCTATTAAAATTAGATAACCGTTTGAAATGTTCGAAATTTAAATTACGAGCTTATTTAATAGTTTTCTACATCAATTATGTGACACAAAAGGCAAAGTGACTGGTAAATAGCGCCCCGACCTTTCCAAATTAGGGAGGTGGGGTTGCATTTTCACTATCGCGAATAAATATATGCCTATATATACCTAATTTCGGGGTGGGAGTGAAATAGTTCGTCCTGGGTGCCGAAATAGATCGCTATAACTTTATACAAGTTATTAATTATTAGGTACTTTTTGATAATAGCGATTAAACCTTTTGCGCCCCCCTAGGGATGGCGCCCTAGGCGACCGCCTAGGGCGCCTTATGGGTAGCGCCGGCCTGGTCCTCGCCAAAAACACGGTTCCATTTTGATGTGTATTATGCAAGACGTCATGCTGCTTCAGCTGACTTAATTCCTGCCTCGCCAGAACCCCTACCACCCCCTCCCAAATTGTCAGTTCTTCTTCTTCTTCGTTCAAAATTTTAGAGTTGGAAGGGATCCCATCCAACACGATTAAGCATACGTGTCAAACGTGTCAACTGGTTATGCGCCGTCAGTTCTAAATTCTCTTTCATATTTTTAATTCTAACGATAATAAACTTCCATCACACAAAAAAAAGTAAATCAGAAAAAATAAAATTTCTCTTTCTCCACTGGATGCATGACGTCATCTTTGGATCAGCCGAAATTATTTTAAGTAATGAATGGAAACAAAATTGTATCAGTTCTTGCGTCTGCCTCCCCCCCCCCCCTTCTCACAAATCAGCCTTGTTGGAATAAAAAAAAAGCGCGTGCCACAATGACGTAACAACGTGGACGTCCATTTCACGGGCGGTGTGGTTTTAATTGCGGTCAGCTTTAGCGCCCAAGTGAGATCTAGTTTTTTCTCGTGGGAGCAATGATTATAGTCGCGGCGCAATGATTATAGTCATGGGGCAATGATGGCACAATGATTATAGTCATGGCGAAATGGCTATAGTCATGGCGCAGTCATGGCGCAATGATTATAGTCGTTGTGCAATGATTAAAGTCGTGTTGCAATAGTTATAGTCATGGTCCAATTAATATAGTGGTGGCGCAATGATTATAGTCGTGGCGCAAGAATTTTGTAGTTCCACCTGATATGATTAAAAAAAACGAATTGTCTGCTAGCAATAGACGCCTAGTCTCTTTGCAAATATCTGTTCCGTCTCAAACCAGTAAAACAAATAGTCGTTAATCTTGTACGTTCCTTCAGTTTCGTTGGTTCAGTGGGAACATGCTAATCTCCTTCAGGCGACAGTAACACCATTACACAACACCATTTACTTTCACCATTACACAACACTATGTACTCAAACGTTAATACTTGGAGTAGTTGTCTACATCATTACATTGAAGATACTTACACCATTACACAACACCATTTACTTACACCATTACAACGCACCATTTACTTTCACCATTACACAACACTATGTACTCAAACTTTAACACTTGGAGTTGTTGTCTACATCATTACATTGAAGTTACTTACACCATTACACAACACGATTTACTCAAACTATAACACATGAAATAGTTGCCTAGATCATTACATTACACAACACCATTTACTTACACCATTACACAATACTCTAAACTATAACACTCGGAACAGTTGCCTACATCATTACATGAATGTAATCACTAGATTATAATGAGCAACGAACCTGGACATATTTCCTCCGCCTTTTCATTTTCTTCTTTGAACTTTTTAATCAGCGTCACAATGGAGATCCTCGGGTGTTTCTTTCGGAATTCTGCTGCTAGTTTCTGTAAAGGGGGATCAGAGAAGGATGCTATAGTGGGGGTGTGGGGGTGTGGGGGTGGGGGGTGGGGTGGGGGAACTGGTCAGTAACATGGTGATTTTAAAATATGCTACATTACTTCTTTATGGGACGGCGTGGCCTAGCTTAGAGCGCTAGACTTCTAACTCAACTGTCTCGAGTTCAAATCCGGGTTCAAGTCAGTAGGATATCTCCGAGTCCACCCAGCTTTGATGGGTAATAACTCACTTTATGCCTAACTTTAAATGCCGATGTCAAGAAACATGAACTCTACTTCCTCTGCCCTATAGATCGCTAGGTCTAAAGTACCTTTTGTAATTTAGCTTTTAGCACTGTTATCAATTGTTTTATAGATGCCACTATGCCAGAGGCCCATTACCACGCCCAGGGTGAAGTATCAATTTTAAGCCCCCCCCCCCACCTATTCATATACAGTTTTTCAAGTCACCTGTCACTATCCCGTAAGTTTTTATTTTGGTGTCAAATAATCGATGTAGAAAACGGTTATATCCGTCTTTTTAAGCCAAGTAATAGTCTATTTTCTTAACTTTGTTATTCGTAATGGAACTTAGAATGATGTTTTTTGTCCATTTGCCGCTCTCTTCGGTCGACGCCCGGGGCGGCCGCGCCACCCGTTCTCCCCCCCTTAGCTACGCCTCTGCACCCTCCGCTCCTAACACTCACTACTCACATGAAAAAAAACAACAACAACATAAGAATAAAAATCACATCATACCTGGACTTCTGGGGTTTCGAACTGCAACCCCAGCCGTTCCATATGCTCTATCAAGTGGACCAGTCCCATGGCGACGTTCTGCAGGATCTGGTCGTGGAACAAGCGCCTCTCAAACTGTGGGAACTGGTCCCCGTAGTGCAGGCGCAGCTGTTTGATGAAGGTGCTCTTTCCGGCACCAGGGCCCCCTGAACACATCCAAGACAAGACATTTTCAAGACGTAATTGAAAATTTATCAAGACACATGTCTTACATGAATGAATGCTAGACAGTAAGGAAGTAATCACAAGCAAGTAGTTGATATAAAAAGTCGTTACTATATAGGGGGTGTGGGCGGTAATTTGTTTTCCAAGAGCTTTAACGTATTATTTGAAAGGGGACTGCTGACATTTTGTGGGTCCACGTGGGGTTGTAACCCCTTCCGACACACATCTGGCTATGCCACTGACCATAATAATGGTATAGAATATTATTAATCTGCCCCGAGTCCACTCACTTACAGCTAAGCCCAACCAAAGCCGGCTTAGTTTAAGCCAGCGTATTTTGAGCCCATCCCGCTTTCGCACAGCCCACCTTAATCCAGACCACCTTAATCCAGCCCACTTGAATCCCACCCCAGTTAAATCCGACCCACGGTAAGACCACCCTACTTTAATCCATCATATTTTTATCGAACCCCATTAAAACCCAGCCCATCCACTTTAATCCCTCCCACCTCATTTTAAGTCCATCCATTTTAATCCAGACAACCCAATTTAAGCCCACCCACTTTAATCCAGCATACCCCACTAAGCCCATGCCTTTAACCCAGTCCACTTTACACCAACCTACCTTTGATGAGGATCTGAACCTACAACCTTCATTAACTTAAACTAACCTACTTATGATGAGGACCTGAACCTCCTCCAACCTACACCAACCTACACCAACCTACACCAACCTACACCAAGCTACACCAACCTACACCAACCTACACCAACCTACACCAACCTACACCAACCTACACCAACCTACACCAACCTACACCAACCTACACCAACCTACACCAACCTACACCAACCTACACCAACCTACACCAACCTACCTATGATAAGGATCTGAACCTCCTTCTCCTACCTACACCAACCTACACCAACCTACACCAACCTACACCAACCTACACCAACCTACACCAACCTACACCAACCTACACCAACCTACACCAACCTACACCAACCTACACCAACCTACACCAACCTACACCAACCTACACCAACCTACACCAACCTACACCAACCTACACCAACCTACACCAACCTACACCAACCTACACCAACCTACACCAACCTACACCAACCTACACCAACCTACACCAACCTACACCAACCTACACCAACCTACACCAACCTACACCAACCTACACCAACCTACACCAACCTACACCAACCTACACCAACCTACACCAACCTACACCAACCTACACCAACCTACCTATAATGAGGATCTGAACCTCCTCCTACCTACACCAACCTACAGCAACCTACACCAACCTACACCAACCTACACCAACCTACACCAACCTAGACCAACCTACCTATGATGAGGATCTGAACCTCCTTCTCCCGCCTCTCCCTCTCCTCATCCAGCTGGTGGTCTATACTCCGGCTGCGGGCCACGGCTGCCCGCCCACCCTTGCTCATGTTGGTCAGAGAGAATGTCTGGGGGAGAGAGAGCATTCGTTATAACATGTGTGGTTGTGTGGTCAGAGAGAATGTCTGGGGGAGAGAGAGAGGATGGCATTCGTTAAAACATGTGTGGTTGTGTGGGGAAGGGTGTGGTATGATGGTGTTTGTCTTGTGGTTAAAGTGGCCATAATTGTAGTGTGATGGTTGTGTGGTTAAAGTAATGGTCTAGTGGGGCTTGTCTTGTGGTTGTGTGGTCGGGGGTGTGGTATGATGGTTGTGTGGTTAAAGTTGTAGTCACGTAGTGTTTGTGTGTGGTTGTTTGGCCAAAGTTGTAGCTTGGTGGTGTTTTTGTGTGGCTGTGTGGCCAAAGTTGTAGTATGATGGTGCTTGTCGAGTGGTTGTGTGGCCAAAGTTGTAGTCTGATGGTGCTTGTCATGTCTAGCACTAAAACTCCTGGGATATTCTCCTGGGCTGACGACTGGATTTACCTGGGTAGGGACTAGTGTGTTATGCTGGCCACACAAACCTCATAGACACCTCAGCGTAAACTCTGCTTCACCCACTATACTACACATTTTTTAATTTTGTGCACAACACATTAACTCGACAAGGGCGTTAAGCAAATATAATTGGGGCTAAAGATAAAGGTTTTAATTCTACCTGCTGTACAGTTTTCATATGAGGCAGTGACTAGGATTTTGAAACTAAGCAAAGTTTTATCTGTTTTGCTCACAAACACAAATGCGTGGTTAGTTAGATCAGTTGACTGTCGAGATTAACATAGGCGGAGATTTTATATCCATCACGTAAATACTGTGTAATTATCCTAAACGTGTACTGAATAGTGGACTTAAAAAGTAATATAAAATAGTAATAAGACAGTTGTTCCAAAATAGAGGTCTTAAATAGTGGTCTCAATTAGTGGTATTAACAAATGGTCTGAAATAGTAGTCTGTAATCGTGGACTAAAGAGACTCGTCCAAAATTGTGAGTTAAAACATTGTTAAGACTAGGTTTAAAAAACATATTGAGATACACTGATTAAAAATTTGTTTTCTTCGTTTTTTCAATGGATATAAAACTGATTAAAAACATTTCAGTTTTTCTCCAAGACATAAACACGGGGAAGGTGTCAGACTAATTAAATTAATCAACCACCTCCTAAAGTCATCCATTATTTCATTAACTAAAAACGTAGTAAAAACTTAACATGAAGTAAAAAAGAAATTAAGGGTAGACAACTCTATTAAACTTGTTTACAACAAAAGCGAAATGACTTTCTAACAACTCGATAGAATCGATGCTTTACTAGGAAGGTAAAGAGTTTCCCGGGAATTGAACCAGGACTTGAACCCAGACTTTCTGGAGAGAACCAAATAGGACTTGAACCCTCACCTTCTGCAGACACTGATTAGGACAACCTACTCACTGAGGGGGTCAAGGTCAAGTGAGTGATTGAGATAGAACAAGGTCAAGATGTCGGCCACTTAACCAAGGGTTCTAAACCCTTTGAAGAAATTTTTTTTTTGGTGGTCAAAATGAAATTACTTAGATAGCTCTAGACATGCAAGATGCAAGAAATTATATTTACAACTCAATTTCGTTGAAGTTTTACTGTAATATCTTAAACTTGAGTTTGTTGAAATTATATCTACAACTCAAATTGGTTGAAATTTTACTTAAGTATTTGAAAATTGAGTTTATTGAAATTATAACTCAAATTATTTGCAGTTTTTCTGCAATATTTGAAACTTGAGTTTGTTGACAGTATATCTACAAGTATATCTACAAGTCTAATTGGTTGAAGTATTACGGTAATATTTGAAACTTGAGTTTGGTTTGAATTTACTCACCACCGAATAATTCTCAGACTTAAGCCAGGTCACAGCGAAATGAAACAGCATGTTACAACAATTTAAAAAGTCGGCCCAAGCAAAACTTGCCCTTGTCGTATTGCCTCAAAAAACAGCGAACATGTCTTACAAGACTGCGCCTTATAACAACAGATGTGGTATAGGTTCTGCCCCTTTACAAGACTTTAACTCTAACTAACACGCGGTATAGGTTCTAACATAAAAAAAATCCTCCAGAAAAAATTATACGGAGTACTTTCGGATTCGTATATGACCGTGCAGTTTGCAATGTTGGCGTAGTAATACGATGTCTCCGATATTGACATATTAAGAACAAAGAAGAACACAACAATCTCGAATTACCTGAAGTTACTAAGCAAAATGCATTTAAAAATAGGCCTACATCTGATAGCCTTTGTTCATCACTCAGCACAATTTTTAATCCATGCATACATTCCCCTGTATTATCTTATGACATGTATAAAACACATATACGTATATGTGTGTATATATATATATATATATATATATATATATATATATATATATATATATATATATATAAAGCTAGTGTCTGTGCGATTGGAATATGAATAGCTGACACGAGAAAAAAAAATGAGTGCAGGAGAATTGATCAAGTGTGGACTAATTACCGCCAGCGGGTAAAATCACCGAAGTCTCGTGAGCAGAAATCTCATATGTAAGGGACAGACACGATTGATTACTACAGCCCCGGTTGTCTTGAAATAAAAAAAAAGTGTAAAGAAACTACGCTAGTTCAAGGTTTAACGTAAGGATACAACATAATTTTATACTTTGTTTTTATACTTAATATAAAAAAAAATTTAATTGGGAAAAACGTTTAAAAATGGATTTTTGAAAATTTGTTGTAAGAAAGAATACAATATTCAATAACCGTATTTAGATCGTTGTTTTTATTTTATGGAAAAACCGCACAAAATTATATCGTTAAAGTACTTATCTGTGCAGAAAGCCATAGTTCCGCCCCCCCCCCCCCCCCTCCCGTCACCAGCACCTGTCACCATCTCACCCTTACCCCGTCCCCACAGACTTCACTCACGTTCTCTTTGTTTAGACGTAGCATGGTATCCGTACGTGGATCTCCACACCATCAAAGTTCAACATGGAACATCAACATCACATTGTAGAGCTCTTGTGTCACCACTCCACAAATCAGAATGTAAGTATCTGTGTCATCACTTCACACATCAGAATGCAGGTGCTTATATCACCACTCCGCACACAACAAATTGTAGGTGTTTGTGTCACAACTACACACATCAGAATTTAGGTGTTTGTGTCACCACTCAACTCATCAGAATGTAGGTGCTTGTGTCACCACTACACACATCAGAATGTAGATGCTTGTCTTCTGTATCCCCAAACTAGTCAAGGGAAATCACTCTTGTATGTTATAGTATTCACGACATCATGAGCTGCTCAGCGTTTATCCAGTACCCAGCACAACATTCACATCCTGCGGATACACTGACAAAACAAGCACGCTGGTCACGTGGCCGTTGTGATCACGTGATGCTTTAAGTGTCATGGCCGCACTTGACCTTTCTAGAGGATGAGTTTCCAACATCCAACATACAACTTTTCAAGTGTTGTCTTTCTCTGTGTCGGCACGTAAGTAGATTGTAGGCTACAGAGGCGTCTTTGGGAGGTTGGCAAGGTGTAGGGTTGTGCAGTTGTCCCCTGGTGGTTTTATAACTTCCGGGTTGGACGGTTTATAACTTCTGGGTTGGAGGGTTGTCATATGGTGGTTTTATAACTTCTGGGTTGGAGGGTTGTCAAATAGTGGTTTTATAACTTTTGGGTTGGGGGATATGTCAATTGTGGTTTTATAACTTCTGGGTTGGACGGTTGTCAAATGGTGGTTTTATAACTTCAGGTTTGGAAGGTTGTCAAATGGTGGTTTTATAACTTCTGAGTTGGAGGGTTGTCAAATGGTGGTTTTATAACTTCTGGGTCGGAGGGTTGTCAAACGGTGGTTTTATAACTTCAGGTTTGGAAGGTTGTCAAATGGTGGTTTTATAACTTCAGGTTTGGAAGGTTGTCAAATGGTGGTTTTATAACTTCAGGGTTAGGGAAAGCAAAGAAGGCTGGGCAAAGTGCTGACCGCATCTCCTCTTCAAATGCCGAGGTTAAAAAACATAATAACTCAGCTCACGACTAACTTAGCTCACGACTACCTGACCTCACTGCTAACTTAGCTCACGACTAACTTAGCTCACTTCTAACTTAGCTCACTACTAACTTAGCTCACGGTTAACTTAGCTCACGACTAACTTAGCTCACTTCTAACTTAGCTCACTACTAACTTAGCTCACGGTTAACTTAGCTAACGACTACCTGACCTCACTACTAACTTAGCTCACGGTTAACTTAGCTCACGGTTAACTTAGTTAGCGACTACCTGACCTCACTGCTAACTTAGCTCACGACTAACTTAGCTCATAACTAACTTAGCTCACGACTAACTTAGCTCACAACTAACTTAGCTCACGACTAACTTAGCTCACGACTAACTAACCTCACGACTAACTTAGCTCACGGTTAACTTAGCTCACGGTTAACTTAGCTAACGGCTACCTGACCTCACTGCAAACTTAGCTCACGGCTACCTAACCTCACGACTGACACACCAACCTTCCAACTATAAAACAACAACTCCATGTACTATTAAATCCAATGATATCAGTGCCTGTAGTTAAGTAAATCGCGAGGTGCCATACATTTACCGCTGATTACAACCTGCTTTCTCCCCAATAAAAAAACTCCATCGCTCTCCTTCTCGTTGATGAAGTTCAAGGCCATCGAACATGGAGGGAAGTTTTAGCAGACGTCAGCAGAAAGTCGGGCGCAGAGGTATCGATCTAACTAGATCAATATTGATTGTGGTAGGTGGAGTAGAAGTGGCGGGGAGCAGAGCTGCCAGATAAATATTTGACGGACTGGCCAGGTGTTTTAAAACACGAAATTTCACACACATTCTTTTCAGCGTAAAAGAAAATCTTGAAACATATACTAAAGGTCAATAATTCATGTAAAATTATGCGAAAAATAACAAACTAAAATGAATTATAATCACGAGGAATACAAAAAATGATAGATGGACTATTTGTAAAAGTTGCTGATATGTATGTTGGTGTT